GGGATTTTGCGTATTTTTTAAACATAGGTATCAAAAAAAAAATCGGATTCAGAAAAAAAAATTACAAACGAAAAAAGGCAGCAATATCTCTTATTTCCCAAGAGTATCAATATAATAATTTCTAAGTTTGGTCTTTTCGTGGTACAAGAGGTAGCTACTTTAACTTTTGCGCAAAGTTCCAAGAACTTATGCTGGAGTGAACAGGCCTTTCAAAAACAGTGCCCCTAACAGGGGTAAACAAATCTCATGCACCCTATCCCCCCCCCCCCCCNTACGGCTCAACCACTTGATGGTTCTTATTGATGTTTTAATACAGATGAGAAGGGGGCAGCAAAATACAGGTGGCCCATGGGCAGCAAATAGGTAAATCCGGTGCTGAATATCAGCCCAAAATTCTAGCATTTACAGATTGCTGAAAGGCACAAGATAAAAAAGACCTGTATAAAATCCCCCCGGTATAAAATCCGTCTCAAAGACGAGACACCTGTGAGCAGTTTGCCTTTTCGGCTTTGTCCAACTCGAGGCCTCGTCAATAAATTAATCGAAGACAACGTCGTAGAATTACCTACCTTTAGCTACGCTTCACCTGCCTTCCCTGTGCCTAAGGGTGCAAAGGAAGACAAAAAGTGGCGGTTAGTGGTCGACTGCAGACGTCTCAACAAGAAAATTTAATTTGAAAACATTCCTGTACGCGATATGAAAACCGCTTTTTCTTTTTTTGGCAATGCCAAATACTTTTGTGTGATCGATCCAAACCAGACGTACCATCAAATCCCTCTGGATGAAAGATCCAAGGAAATTACCGCACTCATGGTCCTATGGAACATTTATCACTATAAAAGAGTCCCATTTGGGTTGAGTGTGGGTGGATGTGTTTTAACGCGAATGATCGATAGGATATTTTCTGATCTGAAATACAAGAGTTTGGTCAATTACTTGGATGACATTGTCCTATTCGCAGAAACCTTTGACGAATCGATGACCTTCCTAGATGATGTCTTGTCAAGGTTACAGAAAGCTGGATTAACTATTAATCCTGCCAAATTAAAACTTGCTGTTAAGCAGTTTGTTTTTCTAAGTCATTTGGTATCCTATCGATCAGTCCAAATAGACCCATCCCGCACTCAACCCATCCGAGATCATCTTCCTCTGACAACTGTTAAGGGCAAAGCCCGTTTCGTCGGGATGATAGGTTTCTTTTCAAAATGTTTACCAAATTTTGCAGATAAAGCGGCACCCTTGAATGCTTTGTGGCGAAAGAATGTTAAGTTTGTTTGGGGACCCGAACGATAACAAGCTTTCAAAGAGTTAAAGAATGCAATTATCAACCCCCCAATCCTTGCAGTACCTCGTTTCGATGTTCCGTTTATTTTGCAAACAGATGCAAGTGGGCGAGTTGTGAGTTGTGGGTGGTGCCCTATTACAGGATTGTGATGGCGTGAGAATGCCAATAGCTTACTTTTCAAAGCGCTTGACCAATGCCGAGGCCAAGTTTGGTACTTATGAGCAGGAATGTTTGGCTGCAATTCTCTCAATGGAACATTTTCGTCCCTATCTAGACCACCGAGAGTTTCTCTTAGAGACGGATAACCAGGCTTTGAGTTGGTTACTCGAACATCCGAGACAGCAGGGCCGTCTAGCGCGATGGGTTTTGCATATTTCTAGTTTTCAGTACCAAGCTGTCCATATTCGCGGTACCGAAAATGTAATTTCAGACGCTTTGTCTCGTATGTTTGACGACCAGCCCCAGGCAGGGTTAGAAATCGAACAAGAAGATGTCCCAGAGCCGAAAGTGAGCCCAAAATTGAATTGCATGTTATCCCCAGAATTAGCTGACTTTCCTCTCACATTCATTGACATTGCAGAACCCCAAAAGGGTGATCCTGAGCTTGGCCCCATCATCGACAAGCTGACAAAAAAGGAAGTAGTAAAAAATTATTCTCTCTCTAAAGGTGTTCTCTGTTTCACCCCACCACATTGCCGTAAATCCCGAATTGTAGTGCCAACTGTATTGAAACCAATGATCTTCAAATTTTATCATGAGTCAATGTTAGGTGGTCACTAAGGATGCAGAAAAACAATTGATAACATCCAACAGTTGTTTACTTTTGAAAATTTAGTTGCAGAAATGCGCGAATTAGTTAAAGCGTGCCACTTGTGTGCAGTTAGCAAACCAAACTTGAAGCAAAAAGTTGGTCATTTGTCTAGCGATGCTGCCTATTCTCCCATGGAGAAAGTCTACGTTGATTTTGTAGACCCACTCGTTCGTTCTACTCGTGGAAACTGTTTTGTAGTCGTAATGACTGATGCATTCACCAAATTTTCTTGGATATCTCCAACAAAATCATCTACTAGCAATGTTGTAATCAAAGAAATGGATCAAGTTTTCAAATATGCTAGTCTTCCCCGTTCTGTAGTGAGCAATAATGCCAAATGCTTTCGTTCTAATAAGGTAAAACGTTGGTTATTTAATCGTAGAATCCAAGCCATTTCAACATCACCTTATTAGCCTAGGCCAAATCTGGTGGAAAGAGTTAATCGAAATTTAAAGAGCGCATTAATCGCGTATCATTCTAATTCCCAAAATCGATGGGATGAGGGTTTGGACTGGTTAGTCCAAGCATTCAACTATTCTAGGCACGACGCACATCAATTCACGCCACACGATCTTGTGTTCACTTTTCAGCCAAATATGCCTTTAGCCCTTCAATGGCATATAACAGATCTTTTGCCTGAAAGTCCCAAAAACATCCAAGAGAATTGGGATAAAGCAAAGAAAAATTTGCAAGCGGCCTATAACAGCAGGAAAAAGCAATTTGATTGCGGTCGGGCGGACCATAACTTCAGAACTGGAGATCTGGTATATTGGAAAACTCATCATTTGAGTAGTACAATTAATAAGAAAATGGCCAAATTATCACCTCGCTTTGAAGGCCCATACCAAATAATGAGATTTACCTCTCCTGTCTCCATTCTGTTGTCTGATCTATCCGACAGCAAAATTGTTGTAAAGCGTGCTCATGTCACGCAGCTCAAGAAGTTTCTCCCCAAAACTTCTGAACCTAAAAGCTGAGACTGATACCAAGATAAACAAGTAATTTTAACGTAATGAGTGATTTTAAAGATGAGTGTCTTTACCGAAATTTCCTCGATTGTACCGTTTTTTCATTGTACTAATGGAAAGTAAATTCAAATAAGCTTTTGTATTGTATACTTTGTATCCTAAACTTTGAACTTTTCATCCTCTTTACAAACGTTATGTAATAGCACAGCAGCGTCCGTCGTTGAATAGAGTCAGTGAATGAAAGAATGTTTAAAATTGTAGACTCAAATCATGTAATTTTCCTTGCTTTGTATGTGTGAGTTGCAATTATAAACAAAGCAAACAGTAGACTGAAATTCTTTTAAGAATTTTAATTTTGTTACTTATGACTATGGGTGTGGATTGGTCGTAACACGAGCAAGTAATAGTCCAATGTAAATTTACTTTTCTCTGAGAATTTTCCATGCGAGAATGTTATGTAGAATCCTTTGATTAACGCCTCCTGTCAGTTGATTTCGTGTCTCTTTTGTTTCATTATTATCTCGAATGAATGGGATGTTGTATGCCCCACCAAAATTTTTTTCTTCCTATACATTTGGCTTAACACGTTTAGGCAAACTTATTTTTTTGAGTTTCTACCAGTTTATTTTGTGAACCAACCTACTTGTGCCAATTTATTTCTAATCAGTTGGACCTCCGTTTGGTTTCCCGAAAGGCCATCTGATTACGAATATAATTTTTTTTCTTTGCAGCAGATAAACAGAGAAATTTGCCATTCTTTGGCCAGATATGGCAGTTTCATTTCTTGTTATAACGTTGTGTGAAACACCATTCTGCATTTTTCTCTGAACGGACCCCCCCCCCCCCCCCCCCCCTCCCCCCTCTCTGTGATATTAAATTTAAGTGTCCCCTCCGCTTTAGTTAGTAAGTTAAAACCTTCCTAACTGTGACCTATTAAAAGAAATTCCTACCCTATCGAGTATGGGCGGATAGCGAGTATCAACCAAACACTGACTTTGACTTTTCCAGAGTATCTAGTTTCTAGGCCTGAACAGGTATTCTGCGCCTTTTCCTCTTTAAATTTCATCCTTTTGTATGATTTTTTATAATTTGTCTTAAAATTTCATTTTCCTACAACTGACAGGCGGAGAACTAAAATGTTGTAGTTATGTGGTTATTGTATACTGAGTTAGACTCAACCTTCCTCTTTCTTGAAATAAAAAATGGCCAAAAATGAAATTGTAAAACATTGTACTGACCTTTCATACATGTAAAATAGTAATGAAAATAGTAATGTGTTTCCTCTCTCCAACTTGCAAATTACCAGTCTTTTTGTTGGTCACCAAAAAGGACACTCTGAGTAAAGACTGTAGGAGTGGTACCGTAAGGTCCGAAGTTTTTGTTTTGAATTTTTAATGCAAGTTTAGTTGTTCAATAATATACTTGCTTCTGTCTGTAAATATCTTCCTTTTTGCCTTTTTGGAGAGAGATTATTCCCGATTGCCCTTTGAATACACATTGCTCATAAATTGTAAATTTGATAAATAGTTCAGGAGAAATAACTGTAGTTGTTAAATTGTAATTGTAATTGCTTAATTTTTTCAAAGGACCCCGCACACCTCTTATGGGAAGCTGCACCATGAAGAATTGCCTTCTGACTTATGTCATTCGATTCTCCTCAAGATGCTGATCAAAAGTTATAATTGCGCCAACTTTCTACGATACACCGTTTTCGCAAATACCTATGAGAAGATTCAATTATTCGGTGATAAAAAGCCAGAAAGAATCCTCATTTCAGTACTCAATTGACAAGCGGCTGTGTGTCAACAAGGAAATCATGGGGATTCCCGCACCGAGCGGCAGTCTTATCTCGGATTCCGCACGCCGTTTTGCTCGACCACCATCCAAATCAGATTCTTGAGGAGCATAAGAACAGGAAAGTCTGAACATCTACCGGGCGAGTGCAGGAGGGAGATAGCCCCTGAGTCGACAGGTACAGATAAGAAGACGGACACGCGCTACGGTTTTTCCTCATTCACATCGGGCCTGTTCTCAAATGCTTTGTTCTTTTTTATTCATAGTCGCCGAATAATTGAATCTTCTCATAGGTTTTTTGCGAAAACTGTGCATTGTAGAAAGCTGGCGCAATTATAACTTTTGATCAGCATCTTGAGGAGAATCGAATGACCTAAGTCAAAAGGCAATTCTTCATGGTGCAGCTTCCCATAAGAGGTGTGCGGGGTCCTTTTTCCAAAATTTTACAATTTTTCCAATTTTCCACAATTTTTCAATTTTTCCAATTTTCCACAATTTTTCCAATTTTCCACAATTTTTCTATTCTTCTAAATTTTTTTTTTTTTATTGCAAACAAATTTTCTATCCTCTGCTTAATTGAAAAACTTTCTGTTGGTCACCAAAAAGGACACTCAGGGTAAAGATTGTACAAGTGGTACCTTAAGGTCCGAAATTGTTTGTTTCCCTATTACATGCAAGTTTAGTAGTTCAATGATGGATTTGCATCTGTATGTAATTTTGTATTAAGTCAGAGCTAGGAGAAAACTTTAAAAAATAAAACCGTAATTTACTGATAAGTGTCTCTATTTGGAATTGAGAATTTAAAATTATTAGGAAACAATTTCTATGTTAAAAATTATCAAAAATGCCCTTTCAGTTCTTTTTCTATGAATTTTCTTGTCTGCACTCAGTTTTCTGAATAGAATTTACTTATTCTTACTGGCCTTTTATTGTGTTGATATACAGTTGCCTTGATCTTCTCTTAACATGTAGCCTCTCCCCTCGAAGTTATCTTGCGCATGCTACCTCTGTTAATTTGCACACTCAGTTTCTTTTTTTAAAATGCACTTGCGCACTCGCGCTTTCGCGATGTCGCCTTGTGCTGGTCAGCATCTGCTCTAGTGTCATGTCAAGTTTCACTTAACATGTAGCCTCTCCCCTCGAGCTTATCTTGGGTATGCTACCTCTGTTAACATAGTGAACTGCATCTTTTTGTTCTTACAGACTCTCACTAGTCCTCCGGCCTAGTGCCGCCGGTGTTGACACCTACTTTGTCTTTCTGTAAAAGAAAAAAGCCTCTCTCCAACGCTTTGGCTCGGGCAAGCTTTAAACACCACATTGTGAGACTTGATCCAATTGATCGATTAATTGATTTTCTTTTCTCAATGCTGAACCTTTCATTACACACATTCTAATATTCCAACTGGATAACTTAGTGCATTCAAGGCCTTTCAGTTTCTAAACCTGAAATTGTAAAAAATTTTCTATGGTCTCGAAAATTCTTTAATTTTTGTAAAAATTTGTGCCTCACCTTTGTAAATTTCGACTTGATCGTATTTTAATTTTCGTAAAAATTCGCATTGACTTGAATGTCCTGATTAGTACTGAGAGTTTCAAACTCTGAATTTTTCCATTGTCTTGAAAAGACTTTAATTTCTTTTATTATTGTGAAAACTTGTATTTGTAATTTGAAAACATGGTTTTGATAATACTATTTTTTTCATAAGAATTTGTAGTTGTACTTCGTAAATTTGGTCTTGACTGACAGTACGGACGTAATGCTTAAATCTTTGGTGAAAATTTGATAGAACTTTAATTTCTTATAACTGATAGTGATTTCACTGATAATGATTCAATGTTTTGGTGAAAAATTTGATAGAACTATAATTTCTCGTAAATATTTATAACGACTTGATTTCAGTTATGAATTTCTTTAAAAAATTTAAAATTGTCAAATATCAGGTTTTTAAAACAGATTTGTACATTTGATAAATTCAGAATTGTCAGTAAATAATAACTATTGTAGTGATTGTCAGTAAAGAAAATCCATGTGCCTAATTTTTTTTTTTTTTTTCTTACTGATTCTAATGCTGTAATTTACTGAGCCCTCCTGAGAAACTTTTTTTTGGACCCCTGGTCCCTATTAGGAGGGGGAGGATTGTGACGGTCTGCAGCAGTCATTCATATTCTCGCGGGGATTTGTTTGGCCGTTGCATAGCACTCTCCTTCCCCGGATCTTGGTTCTCCAGCAGTGACCGCGGCTGTCCGCCATCTTGAGCTTCAGTCTTCGCTTGTCTCTCCGCATAACTGGCCGTCGATCAAGGTTCCTCCCTTCCTCATTAGCTTCTTCACCTCATGTTGAGTCTTCTTTATATGTATTTCGCGACCTTTGTAGATTTGTGCCTTTTCACTGTATTTTTCGTTGCTCAATAAACTGTTGTCTCCTTTCGTTACTTGCTTGTCTAGTCTCTTTTTGTTACGTCTCCTTACCGACCGACCCTCTATAGGTGAGGCCTACCTCGCGGTACCTCATATTGGCCTAGTCAGCCGTCTTCCCGTTTCAAATCAATAAAATAAAGACATAGACAAATTGAGTACTAATGGGAGGGTAAGAATGAAATTCAAAAACAAATATTTGCACCGAAATTTGAAAGGTGGAACTTCTTCGTTGTGAGGCAATCAACAGTGCCATAAAATTCAAGAGCGGTCAGTTCAAATCTAGCTTGAGTTAGGTTCAATATAAGTTTATAACGGTCAAACTTAAGATGTAATTTCATCTTCTTAGAGAATCTTTCACTACCCATCACATGTTTCTTTACTTACCTTTTGAGCTGCTATGAGGAGTTTATCCAGATACCGCAGCCATTCGAAGATAAAAATAGGCCTCTTGTTCTCAGGCAGTTGATTTAGAGCTGCTTCATTCAAAATTAGACTGTGACTTAATTCCATTTTTATCTTCTCCTGAAAAGAGAAAATATTATTTTAATAACTTATTTTGACTGAGGTTATTGCATTTTAGTTTCATTGATTTTCATGTAGGAATGCAAGGGCTAAGTACTTAGTGCCCTTAACAAAAAAATACCTAAAACATGTTTTTAAAAAGACAAAAATGAAAATTAGTATACTTGGGAAAGGTTTGGTTGCAAAAAGCTACAAAAATAATATAATTTTGATTGCTGACTTCACCGAAAGACCGTATGAAAAAATGAAAAGGGGAATAATGACATTTAGAGGGAATAATAAGAGTAGAAAGTGCCGCAGCAATCTTGCAGACTTGCCTCGACTCAGAATGTGAAGAGGGAAGACGAAAGAGTTTGCTTAATATTGTGAAAATATACATATAAATACCAGGGGAGAGATCCTATCTAGGACTTCTCATTTTCACCTAGCACAAAGTAAGCTGGCGACTATCATATGATGGGAAACGTGAAAAGTTACCAGTAGGGCTGCAAATCCAGCAGGATTCTGGAACCGGTTGTGAAGGTTGGAAAATTTTGCTTCTGATTTTCTCAACATCATGGTTCTGGTTGTTCTGGTAAGAGTTCCAGACCCAACTTTATTTCTGTTCCGAGGAATGTTTTTGTAAAGCCAAAAAGTTTCACCAATTAAGTAGGTGCGTAAAAGGGGAAATTTTCAAAAAATCTGAAATATTTAATGAGTTTAAGGTTGCATTTACATTTATATCAATCTGCATTTCGTTAAAAATATATGAAAATCCTGTCTTCTTTTCCAGCTCATTTAGCATTTCTTCCTACTCGCGTGATTTCGTTCATGCGCCTTTCATTTAAGCAAACAAATTCCTCATGCATGCCCTGGAAATAATGCTTCAAACAGTGAAAAATATGGGGTGATTTTATTTCTTAAAAAAGCCTACGTTGTGCATTTGAAGCCGATTTGGAACCCAATCCTCCACCCAGTAACTATAGTTCCCGCACCTGTTCTATTGAAGCCATGCCATGATTCAAGTTCTGGATTTCTGCTTCCAATGGACCACTAAACAAGGTACGAATTTCAGCATTCTGATACATGTCTCTTAACCAAAATTTCACGTAAAACTTGATGCGCACAACAAAAATTACCGAAATCAACTCCTTACAAAGATATATATTGATTCCTGATGAGTGAATTCAAACCACCCGCTCATTAAAACTCAATGCTTTACAAGAATCACATCGCACACTAAACATTATCATGAGAGTCTCTGCGATATAAAAATCTGGCAATCTCAGTCTTGACGCTTTGGCTCAGCTATAGTAAATTGCTAATAGTTTGAACAACACATGGTGGGAAATGAACATTGCTCGATTGAGAAGCTTGCTGAAACCATTGTAGTGCGAGATTTGACTCACGTACAGTTTTGAGTTTCTTGTGAGCGGGCAGTTCAAATTCCTCGTAACCGATGTGAAATAAAAACGTTAATATCTTCCTTAGGAGTTGGTTTCAGTAATTTTTGTTACACAAATCGTTTTTTACATGAAATTCTGGTTAAGAAACTTGTATCAGATTGCTTAAAATCGTACCTTCTCTAGTGGTCCATTCTACTTAAACACACCATGTTCTGATTCTATTTGTACCCTTGCATTAGGTTTTGGGATCAAAATAATTTCTCTGCCTCCCAAATGTCCCTAAAGATACTAGGAACAAACTTACTTTTAAGTAAGGCGACTTTCTCTTTTAAAAATTTTTCTGAGCAGGCTCCCTTTTAAAGTTAAGGAAATTTTTCTGAATGTCCCATGGAGCTTGTGCAGTCCTTAAAACCCCCTTTGTTGGGGTGATCGTCTGTGCGAGCCAGGTTTCCCTGCATGGGATGCTCTTCGGTGGCCCCCTCTCAAAAAAGTTCATGGTTCCGTCCATGTTCATGGGTCACCAATTTTGACCGTAGAGTAGGGGAGAGCCGGGCAAAGTGGAACACTTTTTTTCAACGCGCAACAGAAAATTTATTTATTTTAACTACCTAAAACATTATGTTTATTTATAATTGAAGTTTCATCGCTTTTTTATCAAAAGAAGGTGAGAGAAGCCGAAAAAGTCTTCAAAAAGCGCCAAGAAAATTAGATACAAAAAAAGGGGCAAAATTCCACTTTGCCCGACTTGAGTCGGGCAAAGTGGAATTCGAGACACCGCTCCTTGAAATTATATTAATAATTAAAAGGAGAAACCGATTCAGTTAAATTTTGTTTTTGAAATCGAAACTAGAGCAATTACTGATTAAGTAGGATTCATGGATTTAATAATTTGACACTTCTAAAAACGAACAAGCTCTCACGAGCGTGAAACAAATCTGGCAAGGGTCGGCTAGTTACTTCCGTGATTTATTATTGCTTACGTTGTTCTTTTGGGATAAAAACAGTTTCTAGGGGATAAGTACCCTCTCTAGTTTCAATTTCAAGCACCAAAGGATGAATAAAATTTTTAAAATGAACGAATTCCACTTTACCCGCCCATTCCACTTTGCCCGTGGCCCCATGAGTTTTCACGGGCGCGAAACAAATTTGCGAAGGGCCGGTTTTCTGTTGAAGTCATTTTTTATTGGTTATGTTATTATTTTTTGCATAGAAACAGTTTCTAATGGACTGATACCCTCTCTAGTTTTAATTTTAACCACCAGGGTCGCCATAGGACGGACAGATTTTTTTAAAAGGCCAAATTCCACTTTGCCCGCCCGTTCCACGTTGCCCGCCTCTCCCCTACACAGTCATAATGTAAACAGTAGAGCTGACACCATGTTCTAGTCGACGAGTTCCAAGCCCAGTGTGCGCCAAGCTTTGGTCACTTTCTCAATACATTTTCCATCCAAGATGGCAACGTAGAACACATAGTAATTCCTATTCTTTTCGTTTACATCTGATGGCCAGGTCCCTATGTATCACAGAGATAAAAAAAAGAGGTGTTTGCATCTTGAGGATTGTGTACCCTGTGACATAGGTCGGTACAGCCTGGTCAGCAAAATCCGGAATTCAAAGTATGAAAAGCAGACCATCAAGTCCGATTTTTTTGCTCAAATCAACTCATGATATAATTTCAAACACGATATGTAGAATGAATTTATTTCATAAACTACACCATTTCCAAGAAAATCGATGATAAAAGTCACCGTACCGAACTTCATCATCAAAAAAATTCCAAGATGCCCGAATTGCAAACACCTCCTTTTTTCTCTTTATGCCTATGTATTGAAAACAATCGATTATGCAACGAAAAAGTGACCCAGCGTTACACAGGAGTCTCAGAATTTGAGACCTGGAAAATGCTTAAAATGGCACCAGCTCTCCCATTTACATTACGACACTAGGTACTCTATGATTTAGACAAGAAACTATCCTAACACAGTTGGAAATGACTATAATTTTGCTGGGCACCTCCTGAATAAGTACCTGATAAAATGACGATTCTATTGTGCTCAAGCACTTAACAAAATCAGTGTGCACCGATCAGATCCCTCCATTGGCGATATTTGACAGATTCAGGCGATTGTTTTTCAACTTGAAAGACCTTAAAATAAAACTGAGATGTCTGCCTAACTTTTCAAGAATGTAATGTGATGGATCTTTAAATAAATACTATGCTAAAATCTGGCATGTTAAGAGGTAGTTGAAGAAAAACTGCATCGGAGAAAAGTAAGTCTGCAGTCCGGTCGTTTAATGTGATAATAGCACGGAGAAGGACATTACCTGGAAAACAGTTGAGATGATCAGTGGAAGACTAGTTTCAGGCAGGTAAGATTAAGAAAGTCCGGCAAAAAATCATATCGTGCGCCAGGAGCCGGATTTGAAATTTAAATAGAGGATGGGATCATATACCTAATATTATTGTAAATTTATGTTGTTTAACATCATCATGATACATGTAGTCGTATTTAGTTCGGAGGCGACACTCGCAACATTACGAAACCCGAGTTTGTAATGCTAGTTTTCGCCGTCGGGTTTATGCGGGCGCTGTAACCCGACTTTCGCGGGAAATCAAACTTTCCGATTCTGGCGCTGTTTATGCGCATATTTTCGATTGAACCATGAACTTGAATTTCATGCGTTGGCGCCATTTTCACAAGCTATACTTAATTTTTCCACTATGAATTGATTCAATAAATTATTAGGTATTACTCTTTTATCCTGTGTA